TTTTTGTGGCTAGTGCCTCGGAACGAGGCTCAAGCCACTATGCTATCGCCTGGAAGTGCGTGCGTGTGAGTGAATGTAATTCGGGATAACCTCGGGTTTTTGTTCGATGATTCGTCGTAATCCTYCGTAACCAATMGTATATTCAAATGTATGTTAATTGGGCTTCCTGTGTAATGACGTCATTTCTGCATTCTTAACACTACTGGGTTCCCTGTCTAGTAACGTCATTATCCACCGACCCTACCCGTCCCTCGGGCATGCTTGGAAGCCCCCCTCTCTCCCCTCACTTAGTAGTCCGTCGACCTACCGAGCACTTAACGACATATTCTACGTTAACTACTCGGCTTTAGCAACAATTTATAGTAGAACATCTAAATYTTCKCATCCTTGTGGGATGCTATGAAGTCTCAGCTTACTGATCTTGGTAACCTAGCTTCGCACATGCACAACAGCACATCCAATTCATTACCAGACTCCTCAATTATCTCTKYCAAAGKCATTCGTTTCCGATGGATGTCCGGGCGTTCTCCGGATTAATATTGACAAGGAAAAATTTGCCATGTGCTCGGACTTCACTCTTTGCTCAAAAAAATCCACTTATAAAGGTGAGTTTTGATTCTTCAAGTCATGTTTTTACACTACTTTAAATCAAAAACCAGGCTCAGCTTTCTATGCCTCTATGAAGTGTTTGCTTTTAAAAGTCTTTCCAGGTTTTCTGGYGGTTTAAGGTGTTTACCTGTATATAAAACAAGCGAAGTATCGAAGCGTTGTCTGTTGAGATGTGAACRAGCGGTTTATCCTACCAAATTCTGTCCTTGTCTGTACGAATTGGCGACCTTAAGCTGCTACCTAGAATTGCATTCTAATGTGGAAGCCAAACTTCTCTTTAAAAAGAGCCAAAAGCCCGTTCGCGGGTGCCAAACAAATTCCCTTCGGGAAGCTATGAAATCCCTTCGGGGAGCTATAAAATCCCTTCGGGGAGCTATAAAATCCCCTCGGTGAGCTATAAAATCCCCTCGGGGAGCTATGAAATCCCTCCGGGGAGCTATATTGCCCGTTCGTGAGTGCCAATTGTTCCTTCGGGAACCTATAAAATCTGTACTCCCTCGGGAGCATCAAAACAAAGCAATATTAAATCGAAGCAACTAATGGTGGGATAAATTGTTTATGTCATGTTAACTCAGAAAAGAAAACAACACATGCACTTCAATGAATACTTCAATGGAAGTTGAGCCTGGTTCAAGTAATTTTCAGGAGAAAAACAATAACTACAATTCATCAAATTTTATTACAGGTTATTGATGAAATCTATACCATGAACACAGTGCTATGTTCGTCGAGATTTTATAAGAGATTTTATATGCTCTACAGTTATATAATTACGTTTACAGTTTTGTGTTGATGACCATCAACACAACCATGTTTCTTAACTGATGTATTTTATAATAAATTTGCAGATTATTTGCAACTTTTATAGCATTATACCATACAGTTGTATATTTTGATATATATTTGCCGTTAGAGTTTATTGATGAAATCACCATGATCAGTGCCATGTTCGTCAAGAGATTTTATACGAAATTTTGTAATTTTATATGCTCTACAGTTATATAATTACATTTACAGTTTTGTGTTAAAAAATAAAATTGTTATAAAATTGCCTTCTTCAAAGATTTTGTCATGCCATGCATCTCATGCTCGCACAACATTTTAAACAAAGATGACAGAGGCCATATGCAGTCATCAATTGCTATTTTTTTAAGCCTTCAGTTATACCAGCACTAGCCACATGCAGTCTTTGACTGCGTATTTTTTATTTTTACCACCAACTAGCTGATTGTGTTAAATCGAGCTTTGTCTACCAAAATAGCATCATGCATATTATATATAATTTTGATGCTTTGAAGTATGGTTTGGTAGCTATGAGATTTTGATCAGAACAGCATGGCGTAATTTGAATATAGACATAAATTTCACTTGTTCATTGCTATTGATTAGTTCAAAGGAAACTCAAATGGAGGAGAAATTACAGAGCAAGTTTTCAAAAAATATCTTCGCTGCTCGCTATGTTCGCATAGTGCCACAAACCTGGTACAACCACGTATGTGCAAGAGTGCAGTTATTTGGCTGTGATACAAGTATGTATGAAAAATAAAAATAAAAATGTGTCTTCGTTTTGAGATAATCTTATAGGACTGCTGCAAGTCCTTATAGTGTAAGCCAGGAGGTCGCTTTGATCCGCATTGAGCATGGCCAGAAATTCCGGACATTTGAGCCCGTGACGAGTCAGAGGGTTTTCCCAC